TTACATGTGGCTATTGAGTACTTCAGACATGGCTAGTCCAAATTGAGACGGGCTGTTTAAGTGTAAAATAAACACCCAATTTTGAAGACTTAATATGATTATATTTATATTGAGTCCATGTTGAAATGATTATATTCTGGACAGATTGGTTTTATAAAATATATTATTAAAATTAGCTTCACCCATTTATGTTTCTTTAGTGTTTCACAGGACACCCAAATAGATAAATGCACAGAGAATGCAAGAGAAACATCTGGGCTAAATACAGCTTCAGATTCACAGCTCCAAGTGCCTAAAGCCATTGAGGAATTTTCTACTAGCACATGGTAGATGCCCAGCAAACATTTGCTGATGGAGTGGTCTGATGTTCCCTCCTTACCACTCTTGCTGTCCCCCAAGAAAAAAAGGCTGGCTGGTGCTAAGACCCTGATCTGTTGTTCAAAAAATGTTATCTGACTAACATGAGTTGAACATACAATCCAACGGTCTTTGAGATGGGTGTACAAACCTCTAGGAATCCCAAACTATTTCTCCTTGTGGGCACGGGATAATCAGCAGTGGCTCCCAGGGCTGCACACTTCCCCATGGACATCCAGAGATGGTATATCTCTGTCCTGGCACTCCAACCAGCAACCTGACATCAACTGGCCTGATCACATCTTGCCTTCTCTCATGATTACCACCACCCACATTGTCACACTGTGGCCAGAGAACCTTATTGTTGTAAGCCAATAAGGGCTGGACCACCAGGGACAGAGATAGTCAGTTTCCCTGAAGCATATGGTCTATGTGGGGAAGAAGGAGGTTATAGAAGAATATAAGAACTATTAGAAGGAAGAGGGAAACGCATATTGTGTGGACAACTTTTTAATGTCCAATGTACATCTACTCCTGGGGAACACAGAAAGGAAGAGGAAAAGAAGGGATAAATATGTAGAAGGGTTGAAACCCACTTACTGGGTGACACTGCTATGATTCCCATCTTATTTGTCCACATAATGCTTGTAACTACAACTTGATCCCAGATTCCCCTTGTATGAGCAAGCCATGTATGGCTAATTGTATGGCCATGACAATATATCCCATCCCACGGGCTATTGTCACAACGTGACTTTAATATGCCTCCCATCACAAAGTGGGGTCTATATTCCTTCCTCTTAAATCTCGGTGAAATAATGTTATGTTGACTTCTGAGCCGAGGTCACACATGGTGGTATAACTTCTACCTAGTTCTCTGGAGAAGCTTGCTCTTAGAACCGAGCTGCCATACTGTGTGGAAGTTCAAGTTGCTCATGAAGAGGCCCATATGGAGAAACCAAGCCTCCTGGCTCACAGACATAGCTGACCCTCAGCCCCCAACCAACGCCCAGCACCAACTTGCCAGGTATGTGAGCAAACCATCTTGAAAGTGGGTCTTTAACTCCTGTTCATCCACCCCAGATGGTACCACATGGAGCAGAGACAAGCTCTCCCTGAAAAACCTTTCAGAATTCAGAGTTTTGAGTAAACGAAATGATTCTTGCTGCTTTAAGCCACTAAATTTTGTAGCTGTATTACAAGGCCATGTATAACTGATACAACGAGCAAATAGAAAAGAACTACACAGCCCAATCAAACCTGTCTAGCATCCATCCCTAGCTATGTACATTATGAGAAAAAACACCCAGCCATTGCTATCCTTTGACATTTTATTATGGAAAACTTCAAACATACAGAAAGTAAACGAGTATCATGAACGCCTATGAACCCATCACTCAGTTTCAACAATTACCCCATTCAGAGAGTCTTCAAAGTTATTCATGTTAACAATGATTTTTAAAATAACACTTTAAAGAAAACAGGAAATGATAGATAAAACGGATGAAAACATGCAAAATTTTCATCAAAATTTATAAAAAAGAATCAACTGATAATCCTGAAATGGAAAAATATACTGTTGGAAATTAAGAATCCATTTGATATATTTAATAGTAGACAGGACACAGCATAAAACAGAATCAATAAACTTGAAGAAAATCAGTGAAAAATATCCAAGCTTGAGCACAAAGGGAAAAAGAAGGAAAAAAACAGAACAGGGGGGAAAAAAACCCAAAAAAGCCTAACATATTGATGATTGGAGTCCCAGAAGAAGAAGAGAGAATTGGGTAGAAACATTATTTGAAAATGGTCAAAAATGTTGTAAAACTGATGACAAGTATCAATCAATAGAATCGGTATTTAAGTCAGTAAGTCAAGCAGGGTGTTTTGTTTCAGTTTTTCAATCAGCCTCTGTGCAAGCATTTGCAGGGAAATGATACTCAGGTTTTATTTAAGATAGGTAGGTGAAATTCAGAAGAGGTTGAGTATACAGGAAATCTATGATAAAAAAAAATTACGTTTTCCAAAGTTTGCAGAAGATGGGTTTTAGAAGATCCTTAGTCTTGTCAAATTGGATCAGATGAAGAACTATGCAGGCTTAAGAGGCACAGGGCGATTCATCCTGATAGTCTCCTAGGTGAAGCAGGAAACCAGGTTAAGGTGGGAGTGTGGGCCCCGGAAAGCCGCTCCCTTGCTCCTACTGCTAATGTGGTACCAGAAGGGAGAGAAGGACTCCTCATGACAATATCGCCTTAGGCAAAGGGCTCTACTGAAGGCCTCTCTCCTCTGGGAGCAATGTGGTAGGCTGGAGAGCAAAGGGGGTTTGTACCCAAAGGAGGGACCAAGGATCCTCTACCAGCCTCCTAGTGTTATGGCAAGTGGAGAGCAAGATGAGGAGAGGCTATCACTTCCTGATGTTCCCTGACCCTCAACTCAAGTCCACTTCTGCTACTACTCCACAGCCAATCTAGACGGAGTCATCACTCAGAAGAGCTCGATCCTAAAATCTTAAATATAAACATTCCACTTTCTGACCCCTACCCTCCTACTCTTCCAGCTCCCTCCCTCCATTACTCCCTCTACCCCTCTTTAATCCTTAGGAACCTCCACTTTCTGCCCATATATCAGTGTAAGGAACTGTTCTCCCTTCCCACCTAGTCCCTCCGCCCATCCCTCAGACACTCTAAAAAGCTTAGCTCCTTCGCCACCACCGCCCCTCCAAACTATATGTCTGGCAAACGCCTAACCTGGATGAAGTCAACTCTTATTTTATACCTACATCTGGTTTACTGACTGTTACTTAAGAAAATCACTCAGTGGGGAAGATGAGTACCATGCTCTCTACATATTTTCAAACATAATTGTATGGAAGTAAAACATGAATGAAACTCAGCAGAAAAAAATTAAAACAATACAGAGGTATATGGCAAAAATTAAAAAAAAATAAAGCCGCCCCCCAAACATTTGCTTTAAAAGTTTTGCGTATGTTCTATGCATGCATTATTGTCTTAAATGTAGCTAGATATATGTACCTACATATACATATACACACATATACATATGTATACGAAATCAGAGTAGTTACATTGTAGTAGACACTTCTGGGGCAACTTGCATTATTTTTCCTCTTTTAAAATATGTCTTGGGGGGCACCTGGGTGGCTCAGTGGGTTAAAGCCTCTGCCTTTGGCTCAGGTCATGATCCCAGGGTCCCAGGATCGAGCCCCACGTCGGGGTCTGCTCAGCAGGGAGCCTGCTTCCTCCTCTCTCTCTCTCTGCCTGCCTCTCTGCCTACTTGTGATCTCTGCCTGTCAAATAAATAAATAAAATCTTAAAAAAATAAAATATGTCTTGGAAAGCTCTTCTTCTCAAAAAATACATATATACTTTATATACTATCCCATTCCCTTATTCATATATAAGTTATTTGCTATTTTCACAATAATGAATACCCTTGTACAGCTTTCCGGATACAGTGAAAGTCTATGTCTGAAGCGGATCTCTAGAAGTGAAATGTTTGGTCAAAGGGTGTATGTACTTAACATTTTTTTTTAAAGATTGTTTTATTTATTCATTTGACAGACAGAGATCACAAGTAGGCAGAGAGAGGCAGGCAGAGAGAGGAGGAAGCAGGCTCCCCACGGAGCAGAGAGCCCGATGTGGGGCTCTATCCCAGGACACCGGGATCATGACCTGAGCCGAAGGCAGAGGCTTTAACCCACTGAGCCACCCAGGTGCCCCGTGTACTTAACATTTTAACAAATACTTCTAAATTACCATTCAGAAAGGCTCTATCAAATTGCCCTCCCAACTGCACAAGAGACTTACCTTCCCGAGCACGGCTCTCAACATTGGCTGGCTCTCTTCTTTCCTTCCCTAGACTTCTCTCCCCCTTAATCTCCACATACCTTATCTCTGCTCCAAACCCCTTCTGCTGCCTCCAAATGTACACATTCTTAGCAAATATCTCACCAAATATTTGTAGAGAAAATGGAAGTTACTTGGCTTCCTACCCCCAAAACAACAAAACCTACCCACCCCTCTCCTGTTCTCCTTCCTCCTAATGACCGGGTACGGTAGTCTCCTCGGGTTAGGGCAATCCCGGCTGTGGGCTCCTTCCCTTCGCAAAGGGCTGGCTGCCTTCCGTAGAGGTCTCAGCGCCCACTCTCGCTCAGCCTACCTGAAATCTATCTTCTGCCTTCATCACACAGGCTCACCGTGTGCCAAATCCACCATACCTCCTCTTAGGGGACACTACTGCCCACTCTCTTCATAAAGCCACACTCTTCTCATTTTGCTCCTCTGTCTCTAGAACACTTTTTCCGCGGTCCTCCTCGGTCCTCAGGCCCCTCTTGACCAGACCTTAAAGTCTGGAGTTTGTGATTTCTGTCCCCGGGGCCCTGCGCTCTTTCTCCGGGGAACATGTCACCCTTCCCCTCCTTTCCGCCACCATCGCCCCCTCTGTCTTCTCCTCTCTGATCTGTATCTTCAGCCCAGATGGCCAGTCTATTCAAGGCTGACTTCATCCTCTCCCATTCCGCTCCTCAGACCCTCCACTCGCTCTCTGGCCAGACCCCAGCCCCTCCTCTGGGAAATCGCCGGGGTCCTCTCCCTTTTAACTCCGCCGCCACGTGGCTCCAGTACCTCGCAGACCTGAGGAATGTAGTTCTCCTTGAAGTAGTTCCTCAGTCGGGGGTTGGCAGTGCGTAGCGAGGCCATGACCAGAGGCCCCACTGAAACTCCCCGCCGGCCCTCCGCGTCGCCGGAAGCAGGCGCCGCGCCGGGGCCGGGGACTAGCGCGTCCCGGCGTTGCCCCGGCAACCGCGAGGCAGGGAGGGGCGGGCGCTGCAGCGTAAGGTCCGCGCCCCCTAGGCGGGGCGGCGGGTGGGGGAGCAGCCGGGAGGGCGGGGGGAGGAAGGCGGGCCTCGGTCCCGGCGGCAGCTAGCGAAGTCCGCCTTCGGGCGGCGGCCTCCGGGGGGTCCCTTCGGGTCGCGTAGTCCCTGAGGCTCTGGACTAGTCCTGCACCCCGCCCCGCCTCTGCCAAGCCGCCGGGACGCTCCGGGGCCGCAGGGGGTGGTCTTGCTAGTCTGGCAGGGTCGTTTCCGGGAGGCGGAGCTCAGGCCCGATTTCCTTTCTCCTCCGCGAGCTCGCGCTCGCTTGGCGGCGGGATCCGCTGGCTCCGGGGCCTCCTGCGCCAGGCCCAGCGCTGCGCCCCAGCCCCGGCGGCAGCATGGGCGGCGCCCGGGACGTGGGCTGGGTGGCGGCGGGCCTGATCCTCGGGGTCGGCGCCTGCTACTGCATTTACAAGCTGACGCGGGGGCAGCGGCAAGGTGGCCGCGGGTTTCGGCTGCGCCCCTCGAGCTCTGCAGGTGAGGCCACGGGATGCTCGGCAGGTGGCGGGGGACGGCGGATCGGGGCTGGGTGTTATCCCTGGGGTGAAGGTTGAAGACAGCGGGCGCTCGTGACCTTCCCGTGCTCGCGGCCAAAGGAGCCGAGCCAGGGGAGGGCGGGAGGCTCGTGAGCACGGCCAGGTGGAGAAGCCAGGTGCAGAGGACTGATCGTCCACTTGATGGGGTGCGTGTAAGATCCTGAGCTGCCTCCTGCCTCCACTTAGTTCAAAATCCCGTGATGAAAAGTTGCCCACATTTTCCTGCCTGAGTGCGGCGTCACAGCGGAGGATTGGCTGGGTTTCTCAAAAGCATGTCCACTGCCCCGCACGTTAAAGCTTGCTCCGGCCTTTGTGTTACCAAGGGGATTCTCCCTGCGGTGGCGTGGGTGTTGCGGGGCCTGGAGCGGTAGACGAAATTGTGTCTGCAGTTGCCCTGGGAGAAGGAAAGCTGGAGTTGTAGTTCTGCCTCCTCTCGGCCAAGCCTCAGCGGGGAGGTACCTTGAAGTCACTGCGGTTCATATACAAAGTCGCAGAGAGATTCTGGAGATAACAGACACCGATGTACATATCAGTTTGAAACAGTTATCTGCGTGGGAAAGGAGGCTACCCTCCCGGCGAAAAAGTGCATGGTTAGGTTGCCGTCCAAAAGTCCCGATTGGTGCATTCGGGATTCTGAGGATTTACTGGATGTTCTGGAGGGAAATTTCCGGTCATGGACGTTGTTACAGAAATAATTAAAAATGAAATCTCCTGCCAGCCAAGAAATTCCTCTCTACAAATACAGAAAAGAACTAAAGTTTTATTGTTGAGTAAGCATTAAACTAGATTGCTGTGCTCATCCCAGGCAGTCAGCTAATGGGATTGAAAAGAGAATTCTCACCCCTTTATGTATCTAGGCAGGTAAAATCTATTTCATACTACCTGCATGTTTTCCAGAAAGACAGTAACTTGTCTTTAAGAAAAGGCTTGACTGCACCATTTACACATAATTCATCCTAAATTCACTGGTAATTGACGTGGCAATTTGTGTCAGCTAATTGCTTTTATCCAAAGGAAAAATAAGACTTCTCAGCATCTTTATGACAAGCAGGTGGTTACAACATAGAACCAGGTTGGGAGGCTAAATTCAGAGATCTGGGCTCCACCTTTTTGATGTTTACATTTTAAACAGATGACCCCAAAGCCCAGAAGAAAGACTTTCTTGGGTTGTAAACTGGCAGGAGAGTTACTTAGCTTTTAAAAAGATGTCATTTATGGGGTGCCTGGATGGCTCAGTGGGTTAAAGCCTCTGCCTTCAGCTCAGGTCATGTTCCCAGGGTCTGGGGATCGAGCCCCACATCGGGCTCTCTGCTCAGCGGGGAGCCTGCTTCCTCCTCTCTCTCTGCCTGCCTCTCTGCCTGCCTTTGATCTTTGTCTGTCAAATAAATAAATAAAATCTTTAAAAAAAAAAAAAGATGTCATTTATATTAAGGAGACAAAGGAATTACAGTTATAGCTGGTTCTTGAACAAGGGGAATGTGAGCTGCACAGGGTTACTTACATGGAGTTGTTTTTTGGTTTTTGTTTTTTAGTAGATACAGTTCTGTAAATGTATTTTCCTTATGATTTTCTTAACATTCTCTCTAGCTTATTTTATTGTAATAATACAGTGCATAAGACATATCACATACAAAATAAATGTTAACTGTTTTCAGTGAGGCTTTCAGTTCATCACAGGCTATTAGTTAAGTTTGGGGGAATCCAAAATTATACATGGATTTTGGCACCCCTAAACTCTTCATTGTTCGAGGGTGAGCTGTACAAGTTTACTCAAGGAAATACTCTGAGAAAACAGTAGGGAGAAGGTCTGTATCCCTTTAGGGACAAAGGAAAAAGCAATTTTCAAAAAAAGGTTTTATTTACCCTGACTTACAAAGCCTAATTTGTTGTCTGTGTGTGAAAGAGATTTCTGGATTCAGATACATTCTCACTTACACTGATTGAACCTGGTGAACACTGACAAAGTCAGTGTTTTAAACTTAATTTTACCAGTTCCAAATTCACCCTTACCTTAAGTCAGGCACCTTACAAAATAAGGTGCTCCTGGTCCCTTCTTCCTGAAACTACCCCTTTATCTTTTTTTTTTTAAGATTTTATTTATTTATTTGACAGAAATCACAAGTAGGCAGAGAGGCGGGGGTGGGGGTGGGCGGGAAAAGAAGGCTCCCCGTGGAGCAGAGAGGGGTTGGGAAAGTGGGGGGAAGCAGGATCCCCATGAAGCAGAGAGCCCAATGCGGGGCTCGATCCCAGGACCCTGAGATCATGACCAGAGCCCAAGGCTGAGGCCTAACCCACTGAGCCACCCAGGCGCCCCACCCCTTTATCTTTGAAGAAGACTTGACAAGTGTCCATTTTTTTCAGCATCATCTTTAGATTTCTGAAGATGATCTTTTTTGTTGTACTTGAGATAAAATTGACATAAAATATTGTATTAATGGTAGGTATACAATATGATATGTGGCTATGTATATATTTGATATCAAATATATGTAATATATATTTGGTTTGATTTGATATAGTTGGTTCAGGTATCTGTACATATTGCAGAATAATCATCATGAAAAGTTTAGTTGACATCTCTCACTTCATAGGCACAGATTTTTTGTTGTGATGAGAACTTCTAAGATTTACTCTCAGCAACTTTCAAATACATAATACAGTATTGTTTGCTAACTATAGTCATCAAGCTGTACATTACTTTCCCAATATTTTCATATCTTTAAACTTGTTCTTCTCATCACTCTCATCCATTTTACACTGCCCCTTCGCCTGCCTCTGGCATCCCCAGTCAATTTAGATTCGACATATAAGTGAGATTATGTCGTATTTGTTTTTTCTTTCCTGTCTGACTTGTTTCACTGAGAATAATGCCCTCAGTGTTTACCCGGGTTGTTGCAAATGGCAGGATTTCCTTCTTGTTATGGCTGAGTAATATTCCACTATTTCAGTTTTCCTATATATATATAGACCACATTTTCTTTATCCATTCATCTATCAATGAACACTGAGGTTGTTTCTGTGTTTTCCTGTTATAAATAATGTTGCAGTGAACATGGGGATGCATATGTCTTTTCAAGGTAGTGATTCTTTTTCTTCACATAAATACCCAGAAGTTAAATTGCTAGATCTGCATGCTAGTTATATTCTTAATGTTGAGGAACCTCCAAACTGTTCCATAGTGGCCGCACCAATTTACATAGTCTCCAGCAGTGGACCAAGGTTCCCTTTTCTCTACATCCTCACCAACACTTGTTATCTCTTATCTTTTTGTTTTTTTTTTAATTTCTTTTCTTTTTTTTTTTTTTTTAAAGATTTTATTTATTTGTTTGTCAGAGAGAGAGGGAGAGAGATGGAGCACAGGCAGACAGAATGGCAGGCAGAGGCAGAGGGAGAAGCAGGCTCCCTGACGAGCAATGAGCCCTATGCGGGACTCGATCCCAGGACACTGGGATCATGACCTGAGTCGAAGGCAGCTGCTTAACCAACTGAGCCACCCAGGCGTCCCCTCTTATCTTTTTGATACTGGCATTCTAACAGGTGTGAGGTGATACCTCATTGTGGTTTTGATTTGTATGTTACTGATGATTACAGATGTTGAGCACTATTTCACATATCTGTTGGCCACTTACATGTCTTTGGAAAAAATGGCTGTTCAGATCCTCTGCTTATTTTTTTTAATGATTACTTGGGTTTTTTCCCATTGAGTTGCGTGAGTTCTTTATATATTTTGGATATTAACTGTTTATCAGATAAATGGGGGATATTTTCTCCCATTCCATAGGTTGCCTTTTCATTTTATTGATGGTTTCCTTTGCTATGCAGAAGATTTAAAATCTGATAGTCCACTTGTTTATTTTCGTTGCTTTTGGATTTGGTGTCAAATCTGAAAAATCATGCAAAGACCTATGTCAAGGAGCTTACTGCCTACATGTTCTTCTGGGAGTTTGATGGTTTGAAGTCTTATGTTCAAGACTTTATTATAAGTTGATTTTTGTGTCTGATACAAGAGTGGCCCAGTTTCATCTTTTTATGTGGCTGTCCAGGTTTCCCAGCACCATTTCCTGGAGCTGATGAAGTCTTAGAATATAAGTGAGGTTCGGTGGGGTGAGGTCCAGAGCCAATGACCAAGAAAGAATTCTTGAGACATCTTTGGTGCAAAATGGTGGTTTATTAAAGCCCTGGGACAGGACCCATGGACAGAAAGAGCTGCTGCCCCGGGACTGTGCGGAGTGGTCCATTATACGCTTGCAAGTTGGAAGGGGATCAGGGATGATGGCATAAGTGTCTAAGGAATTTTGGAAGCAAGGTTTCCAGGACCTTGAGGGGCTAGCTGTTGTTGGGCAAAAGGTTATTCATTACCGTGAA